ACCCACTCTCCTAATGCATGCGTGAAGAACACCGGATGAAAAAGTTCGAAACTTGAAATAAAATGATGTCGCCGGAAACTTGCCAGAAAATATGAGTAATAGAGCTCCTAACCCAAGCATAAAAAGAAAAAAAGAGAAATAGAGAGGATTTTCCCAACTTAAAAGTTGGGAAATGAGAGTTGTGTCAAAAAATACAAAGCATAATGTCTATATATAGCTACACCACAAAACACACACTAAAACACGCACATTTAATAACACACTCCCGAGCTCTCCACCATTTTCGCGAGCTCGCCGGAGGTGATGTGCATGGGCGCGGGGGACTCTCGAGGTCGCGGCTACTGGCGCGGGGTCGCGAGTGTGTAGAGCTGGGCACTCTCGAGCTCGCGGCCTTCTCCGCGGGCGCGCGCTGCAGGTGCTGGAACACTCTCGAGCTCGTGGCCTTCTCCGCGAGCGCGCGCTGGGGGATGCAACACTCTCGAGCCTGCGGCTCCTCTCGCGGGCGTGCGCTGGGGGATGCAACACTCTGGAGCCCGCGGCTCCTCTCGCGGGCGAGCGGGCGTGCACGCGTCTAGTCCCGGTCATGGCCCGTTGATGCTCGATTCGCCCTAACTTCTCGCACACATATCCGATTGACTTGAAACTTTGACCCATGCTTCCCAAATCTCGTTCTTCTCTTCTTGGGATGCTCAAATTGATACTTCCGCGCAATTAATATATATTCTCGGAATTACTCGACAATGGCTCGCGTGGCTCGAACATGGTTCGGACGACTCGAAAATGTCTCGGAAATGGCTCGTCTTCCCAAGATCGAATATTGTGGACCTAAACAACACCAAAATGACAAGAAAAGTACGCCGAACCACAAAAACACAATACGAGAATAAAAATGCACGAAACACGATAAAATGGACCGGTCGACACTAAAATGAACCCAAAAACACTAAACTAAAACACATAAAACACACGAAAATAAGTACAAAAACACAATAAACAGTTACCCAATGCGATATGCGATGGCTTAGAAAAGAGGTGCCGCGA